ATACAAAAAAAATAGCTGGTGTGGTAGCGTGTGCCTGTGGTCCCAGCTATTCGGGAGGCTGAGGCAGGAGAATTGCTTGAACCTGGGAGGCAGAGGTTGCAGCGAGCTGAGATTGCATCACAGCAATCCAGCCTGGCACCTGGCAACAGAGCGACACTCTGTCCCCACCAAAAAATTATTTTTTGTAGAGACAGGGTCTTGCTATGTTGCCCAAGCCATTCTTGAACTCGTGGGCTCAAACAGTACCCCTTCCTTGGCCTGCCAAAGTGCTTGGATTACAAGTGTGAACCATTACATTGGCCAATTTTAAAGTTACTGTACTGTGTTCTCGCCTTGGTTTCTGTTGAGAAACGCATGGTCATTTAAATTATTTCCTGTAATGTAATATGTCACTTTTCTGAAGCTTTCCAGTTTAAAACAAAATTGTTGGCTTTGAATAGTTTCTTATTTATTAAAAACTTTTTTTGAAACAGGGTCTAACTCCCATTGCCCAGGCTGGAGTGCACTGGCACAACCTCTGCCCACACATCCTCCTGGGCTCAGATGATTCTCCCACCTTATCCTGCTAAGTAGCTGGGACTACAGATGCACACCACAATGCCTGGCTAATTTTTTGTATTTTTAATAGAGATAGGGTTTCACCATGTTTCCTAGGCTGGTCTTGAATTCCTGGAATCAAGGGATCTGCCTGCTTCAGACTCCTAAGTATCTGGGATTACAGTCACCTCCTGCCTCAGACTCCTAAATATCTGGGATTACAGGCACCTGCCACCATACCTGGCTAATTTTTGTATTTTTAGTAGAGATGGGTTTCACCATGTTGGCCAGGCTAGTCTTGAACTCCTGAGCTCAGGTGATTCTCCAAAGTGGATCCTGGCCTCCCAAAGTGCTGGGATTATAGTCATGAGCCACTGTGCCTGCCCCTCTCCCCCACCTTTTTTTTTTTTTTTTTTTTAGAGATGGGGTTTCACTATGTTGTCCAGGCTGACCTTAAACTCCCAGCCTCAAGCAATCCTCCTGTGTCTTCTGAGTAGCTGGGATTATAATCACGAGCCATCTTTATTATTTTTAAGTGTACAATTCAGTGGTAATAAATACATTTATATTCTTTTTTTCCCTCTCTTTACCTTCCCCCCATCTCTCCCCTCCCCTTCCTGGCTGAATAATTTCATTAAGATGTGTCTTCACTGGGCACTGTGGCTCCTTCCTGCAATCCCAGCACTTTGGGAGGCTGAGGTAGGAAGATTGCTTGAGCCTAAGAGTTTGAGGCCAGCCTGGACAACAAAGTGAGACCCCATCTCTACACACACAAAAAAAGAATGAGCTGAGTATGGTGGTACATACTTGTGGTCTCAACTACTCAGGAGGCTGAGGTGGGAGGATTGTTTAAGCCTGAGAGGTGGAGGCTGTGCTTGAGCCACTGTACTCCAGCCTGAGTGACAGAGTGAGACCCTGTCTCAAATAATAATAATAATAGTAATGAAGCATTTTGCACCAGCCTGGGCAACACAACAAGACCCCATCTCTATGAAAAAACACAAAAATTTAGTGGGCCTGATGGTGTGTACCTGTGGTCCCTGCTACTCAGGTATGGTGAGGTGGGAGGATCACTTGAGCCAGAGAGATTCAAGCTACAGTGAGCCATATGCCACTGTACTCTGTCCTGGGCAACAGAATGAGACTCTGTTTCAAAACCAAACAAAAAGATGTCTCTTGGTATATTTTTCTTTGAGTTATCCTATTTGGTGTTTATTGAGCTCCTTAAATCTGTAAATTTATGTCTTTGACCAAGTGTGACGGATTTTCCACCATTTTTTTTTTTTTTCAAATGTATTTTTCTGCCTTAGTATCTTTCTCCTCTCCTTCTGGGATTACAACTACACTTAGGTTAGAACTTTTGGTATGGGGGCTCTGTTGACTGTTATTCAATCTTTTTTTCTCTTTATTCTTCAGACTGGGTCATTTCTGTTGATCGATCTTCAAGTTCACAGACTCTTTCGTCTGTCCCCTCCATTACTGAACCTATCTGATGAGTTTTTATTTCAGACATTGTATTTTTCAGTTCTAAGATTACATTTGGTTCTTTTTTATGGTTTCTTTTTCTGCGGATGATTCCTACCTTTCATTGCTTGTGTGTTTTCTTTTATAAGAAAGAAATTTATAAGGAAATACTTTTTACTGAAAGTATTTGATAGTTCCAACATCTGGATTACCTTAGGGTTGGCATGTTTGATCATCTCTTCCTTTGAAAATTGCTCACATTGGCTGAGCATGGTGGCTTCTGCTTGTAATCCCAGCACTTCGGAAGGCCAAGGTGGGCAGATCACCTGAGGTCAGGAATTCAAGACCAGACTGGCCAACATGGTGAAACTCCATCTCTACTAAAAATACAAAGAAATTAGCCAGTCATGGTGGCGCATGGGTGTAATCTCAGCTACTTGGGAGGCTGAGGCAGGAGAATAGCTTGAACCTGGGAGGTGGAGGTTGCAGTGAGCTAAGATTGTGCCACTGAACTCTAGCGTGGGCAACAGCAAGACTCCATCTGAAAAATAAATAAATAAATAAATAAAAGGAAAATTACTTACATTTTCCTGGTTCTTTGTGTGTTGCATAAGTTTGGAATTTATCCTCAACATTATGAATACTTTTTGTGTAGATTTCAGGTTCTATTTTAATTCTTTTGGGGAATGTTGCCATTTCTGTTTTAGCAGGCATCCCTGCTTTAGGTTCAGGCCAAAACTTCTGTCTTGCTTTTTGGAGGCATTGGTTAAAATCTTAGTTCTGTTCTTTATGTCTTTGCTATGATGATTTGGGCTGTCCCATACATGAATAGCCCAGGGGCTGGTCTGAGACTTCTGCAGGTATTTCCAATCTTATTTCAGTTTGCCAAGCTTTTGCTGCTTTGGGTCACATTAGAGTTCAAATCTTATTTTGGTTTTCAAAGTCTTTATTAGGCTGTTATGTATGGGTACATTCCACATATTCATGGCTAAGGCCAACTTGTGACTTGTGTGGATTCATACACTGAATTAAGTGATTCTCATTTTTTGTCTTTCTCTCCAGCTTTCCCCCTTCCCCATCCGCTAATGTTGGTCTACAGGGACCTTTTTTCCTAATTTGCTTGGTCAGAAAGAAGAGAGTTTCTAGAGTTAAAGGTGCCCATGGTGTTCTGCAAGTGGGGTTCATCCTTGTTGCAGATTCACACATGAGGGAAAAAGACAGAACTGGAAAACTCACCTCATTTGGGTCACTTCTCCCAGCTTTGACTTCCCTGTGTAATTTACTTGTTTTTGTTTGCTTTACAGAGTCCAATCAGCTGGAGGGGTGGGGCTTAGTGGGGTTAGCTGCCCCACCAGAGCCAGGACTTCTGTGTATTAAATCTGTGCTATTGGACCTCATGTGCGGAGAGCTGAAACTCATTCTTCTGTTTGTAGCATACTGACATAACCAGTCTCTGTTATGTTTACTTATTCCCATTTCCATCCCTTCCCTCCTAGAGGAAACTGTATAAACAAGTGTGATGTTTGCCCTTACATGTTTATGACTCCTTTAAAAATAAGCTGTGTTTATGTGAGGATTTGTTTTTAGCTTGCTGAACTGACATTGTGCTAGAGATGTTGTTTTGTTTCTTTTTTCATTGAATAGTATACTTTTTAGTTATGTTCATGTCTCTATGTATAGAATTGGTTTATTGCTTCTAATAGCAACATAGTATTCCATAGCAGGCATCTATCACATTTTACAAGGGTGGTCACCGTGTTACTTCCAACTCCCTGCTGTCACAGACAAACCTCTCTATGTATAATTCTTCTTTTTTTTTTTTTTTGATATGGAGTTTCACCCTTGTTTCCCAGGCTGGAGTGCAATGGTGTAATCTCAGCTCACTGCAACCTCTGCCTCCCGGGTTCAAGCAAATCTCCTATCTCCGCCTCCCCAGTAGCTGGAATTATAGGCATGTGCCGCCACACCCAGCTAATTTTTTGTATTTTTAGTAGATACGAGGTTTCACCATATTGGCCGGGCTGGTCTCAAACACCTGATCCACCCGCTTCGGCCTCCCAAAGTGCTGAGATTACAGGCATGAGCCACTGTGCCTGGCCTCTATGTGTAATTCTTATTAGCTCTACATCTAACATGTTATCTTGAATCTACCAATTCAAGTTAACTTTTTTTCCTTTTGTTTACTCTTTCTCCCATGGGCTGTCTCCATACAGCAGCCAGAAGAATCTTTCTGAACCATACATCTAAATTAAGCCTCACAGGTATTGAGCTGGAAAAGGGAAAGGGAGGTTCTAGGAGTCCCTAGACCACTCTTGGAGAACTGCTGCTCTACTGCATCTTGAGCCATCTACAAGAATGTCTGCTGCTTTGTAGTTACACAGTCAACTGTCATACTGACTGGTCTTAGCTCTGGATTCAGCTGTATACCAGAATTCTCTGAGCAGATTAATTCATACAAGATAAATCCCTCCTTTAGCTGTGGAAGCTAAGTATCATGTTGCCTAAATAAGATGGGGCATCAGGGTTTAGGGAGAATGCTGAGGGAGAAGGAAGATGGGTCAGATTAGGCCCTACAGATATTCCTTTCCCTTAGAGATACCCTTGAGTTACCGTGCCTCTGTCAGAGAAATAGAGAGGCTGGGTCAGACCAGGTTACAAATCCAGGGAGTCGTCTGAAGGGTCACAGAAGAATCTTATTGCTTTGGCTACTTTCTTTTCTTAGATGAATCTAGGAAGGAATGTCTACTTGGACTGCAAAGTGATCATTTATGTGTACTCCTTACTCTTGCTGATTACAGTGAAGAGTGATAATAATTGCACATGTTGTATTAGATCAGCTATTATTATTGTTAGGTGATTACAACTTACACATTCTGTTTTTATAAAAGCAGGCTTCTTAGTTTTCTGCACAGGTAACCAACCTGGTTATAATATAAAAGAATGTATAGAAATTTTGCTACAGACCTTCCTTTGTGTTGTATATTTTTATGTTGTATTAGTAGCAGGACCCAGTGCTCCATAAAGGATAATAGTTTCCAGTACACTATTCCTCATGATGACTCCTTAAGTGGTTCATCATCTGCCTCTTCGTGTGAACCAGTGAGTGATTTTCCAGCACCTTTTCAAAAATCTACCTACTGGATGAAGATGAGAAGGATCGAGCCAGTGGCTACTTCTCATGTTGAAGGTATCAATATCAGTGTCTTCTTATTCCAGAGATGGAACACTCCCTAAAGTTATAGTGTGAGATTATTGTAAATACCTGTTAAGGGTATCAAATGCCAGATATTTGTTTCTCATTAGTGATTTAAAAAAATTTAAGGTGTTAGGCTATTGGATCCTGTTAGCTTCATGAACTGTTCCTCTAGCTGATACAGTGAAATTCTGCTAATCTTACTCCTCTAGGTTATAATTAGCATTTGATTTTCCTCTTTGTAGGATTTGAACTTCTTTTCCTCTTCTAGTTTGAACTTCTGTTGAGGATTTAGGAGCTGGTGTAAGGGTTATTTAGGGAAGAATATTCTAGATGGTCACAGTCTCAAGGGTCCTTTGGTAGCTAGCCCCCTATCTTGAGCAATTTTTGTGTTCCTTTTTAGTCTCAAATCAAGATTAAGCAAAACACATTGCCTGAAGGCCCGTACTGTTTATAAGGAACAATGGATGGTTTGGGATAGATAACAATGTAAAAAGAAAGAGAGAGGTTGGGTCAGTTAATGAGAAGTTACACCAGCTTCCCTAAAAATCTCACAGATATTTCCTGAGGCCTGTGTTCACTGATGCTTTTTCCCTTTGATGGTCTCGTGAATGATGTTTTGAAGGCAGGCCTAGCTGTTCATTTACAAAGTGTGCTGAGTTTTTGTTTTGTTTTTGTATGGTACTTTAGGATCAGGTGGAACATCAACCAAGGGAGAAGGGAAACCCAGGCAGGAAGAAGATGAAGACTATCGAGAATTTCCTCAGAAGAAACGTAAGCTTTATGGTAAGGCAGTAACTTTGCTACTTCTTTTTCCTTGGGTGACTGGGCTTTATTCTTTGAGGGTAAAAGCAAAAGAGACCTTAGTTTGAGCCCTTTAGTGACCTCTGAGCCCTTTGAATTGTTTAAGAGGGAATGGTCTCCATCCTGCCACCTTATACCCTTTCATTCTGTCATGACTTAGGCAGTCAGTCTGTTGAGGGACTGGGAAATAGGGTGTTGAAGAGAAGGGGAGGGAAGACATTTTGGTATTAGTAAAGGTGACATGTTGGGCTTCAAGTTTCTGTCTTATGTCAGGGAGGAAGCAACAGCCTAAAACTCAGCCCAATCCCAAATCCCAGGCTTGTCGCATTCAGAAGGAACCACGAGTTTATGCAGCAGGTATGTTTTCTTCTGGAACCATTGTGGGATGTAGTTCTCACACCCTGATTTGTTGTTGGTGTTGTCTGTGAAGAAATGAGGTACTGAAGCATTTCTTTAAGGAGGCAGTTACTAAGGGCTCAAGTTTGGAGTCAGACAGACCTTTGTTCAAGTTTTGGCTCTTCATTAACTTTCTGACCTGCCCCCATTTATTTACCTTCCTCTAGCCTCAGTTTCCCTGCCTATGAATAGGGATGATAAAGGCAGTCAGAACTGTTGTGAAAATTAAATAGATAAAAACATTTAGCATAGTCTCAGGCACATAGAAACACTCAGCAGATAGGCTGTGACATTTCTCAGTATCCCATTGTTATATCCTGTTGGGAAAAATGTTGCTGCCTAGTTCTTTAAGCCACTGGTCTTTGGAGTGGTTCTCAGGTGGTTTTTATCATGGAGAAATGAGTAAGAGTTTTCAGAAACTACACTGTCTAAAAAATACTACTTTTTGAAGTTATACCCAGCAAGAGTCTCTTCATTGCAGTCCACCAGGAAAAGGAAAAACAATTTTATGATACTTTACCTAAATTTTGAGATTATGCTTTTTGTTTCTGGAGAATACTGCAGGTTACAAAGTGCTTCTTTCTCTCCTTTGTAGGCAGTTTGGAGGAGCAGTGGTACTTAGAAATCGTTGATAAAGGCAGTGTCTCCTGCCCTACCTGCCAGGCAGTGGGGAGGAAGACCATAGAGGGTTTAAAGAAACACATGGAAAACTGCAAGCAGGTTAGATATTTTGGCGTTTCATAACTGTTATGATTTTTAAATCCAAACTTTAGACCTCTTTTGCTGTGTTGGATGTGCTGGTTATAATGGATGAAAAGCAGCATTGTGGAATAAAGGAAACATAGGCTTTGGATCTGACAGTTAGGTTTGAATCTTTTCTTAGCCACATACTAGTGTGGCATTTAGCTTTTTATGTGTGTACCTCAGCTTCATTTGTAAAATGGAGAAAATATAATAAATGCAAAATAATAAAAATATAGTCCAGGAGAGGATAAGAAAGAAGTAACACATGGCCAAGTGTCTAGCCCATGACTTGGCAAATACTGGCATTCAGTAAATGGTAATTCTTACTATTTTAAAAGTGAATTGCCTTTATTTTGCCCTTAAGGACATGACACTGGGTTTCTGGGATTTTGAGGTTTATTGACTGTTGAGTTTGAGAAATAAAGGAGACATAGACAAAAGCATTTGAGTAGGACTTTGTGTCATTCTGTCTCTCTGTGGAACAACCTAGCACTGAGCAGTATTTTTCCTTCTAGGAAATGTTTACTTGCCATCATTGTGGGAAACAACTTTGTTCACTGGCAGGGATGAAGTATTACATCATGGCAAATCATAATAATTTGGTAAGAGTGTCTTCTGCCTTTGTGTTTGGGTGTGTGTGTGTGTGTGTGTGTGTGTGTGTTTTGAGATGCAGTCTCACTCTGCCATCCAGGCTAGAGTGCAGTGGCGCAATCACGGCAACCTGTGCCTTCCAGGTGTGCCTCCTGGGTGCAAGCGATTCTCATGCCTCAGCCTCTTGAATAGCTGGGACTACAGATGTGTGCCACCAAGCCTGGCTAAGTTTTTGTATCTTTAGTAGAGACTGGGTTTCACCATGTTGGCCAGTCTGGTCTCGAGCTCCTGGCCTCAGGTGATCCACCCGCCTCAGCCTCCCAAAGTGCTGGGATTATAGGCATGAGCCACTGTGCCCAGCCTGGATGTCTTTTACTTACGTGAGTGTAGATATCTCAGTGCAGATAGCTCTTGGATTTTGTAAGAGTATGAGTAAGAGTCATGCACAATGAAACCTTTGCAGTAGATCCATAAATATTTGTGTGTTTAGGTTAGGTCTAAAGGTTTATGTTCTGGGAGGTAGAGGCTCAGAACTCTTATTTCCATTATATTCACTTCCTTTGTCCAGGAGAAGATGGAGAAAGCCAGGAGTCAGATAACTTGGGCTTCCTCAGCACCAGCTCAGCTGCTAGTCTAATCCTTGATTCTCCTCTGATATTTTTTCCCGTGTCTCTTTTCCATGAATCATCTGCTTGTTTACTTCTCTTGATTTCTAGCCCATTTTGAAAGCCAGAGATGAAGTAGATGAGGCAAGTGAGAGGGAACGGCTCCGAACAGTTCTTTTTTTTTTTTTGAGACGGAGTTTCGCTCTTGTTACCCAGGCTGGAGTGCAATGGTGCGATCTCGGCTCACCGCAACCTCTGCCTCCTGGGTTCAGGCAATTCTCCTGCCTCAGCCTCCTGAGTAGCTGGGACTACAGACACGCGCCACCATGCCCAGCTAATTTTTTGTAGTTTTAGTAGAGACGGGGTTTCACCATGTTGACCAGGATGGTCTCGATCTCTTGACCTCGTGATCCACCCGTCTCGGCCTCCCAAAGTGCTGGGATTACAGGCTTGAGCCACCGCGCCCGGCCCGAACAGTTCTAAAGAGACTGGGAAAGCTCAGGTGCATGTGTGAGGTAGGAGCCCATGGACACAACTCCTTCTCCCTGAATTCTTGGGTCAATGTATTTCGTTCTTCTTTTCCATTTCTTCTCTTCCTCATTGTAGACTTCCTAGTTGTGTACTATCTTGGGCTCTTGAACTCATTAATAGTTCTTTATTTTCTTCCTCATTTTTAAAAATTTATTTTTCTCCCCTTTCCCTTTGTTTGATGGGGTTTTCTTACCATCCTTTCTTTAATGTGATGAAGAGGATCCCAGTAATCCCTCACTGTGCTGAACTGTGGTACATATTGCTGGGTATTTGATTGGGATGGGATTGGATCACAGACCAAGGAGGAAGCTCTGATGTAAAGTAGATGCACAGTTATAGTTTATCAAGGGCTGACCAAGCTGATTCAAAATCATGCTGGGTCATAGCAGGATGACCAGAGACAAGGAAGGGTTGTGCTGATAGGAGATGTTGGAGAGAGTCTACCGAAATCAGAGGGCCTGTTTGTATTTTGTGGTGGTGAGTACTTTATGGCTGTTTAGAAATTTAGCGATCATGTCCAAAGATGTAAGATTATAGTTTAGGCTTCTGTCCTGTGTTCAGAGTTGCTCCAGTAGCTTCACCAGCATCATGGGATATCTCTACCATGTCAGAAAATGTGGCAAAGGGGCTGCAGAGCTGGAAAAGATGACCCTGAAATGTCACCACTGTGGAAAACCATATAGGTCGAAGGCTGGACTTGCGTATCACCTGAGGTCAGAGCATGGGCCTGTGAGTACTGATCCCTTTCTATACCCTGGTTGGGGATGTATTTTGTGGTGAGTCCTTACCCCTCTATCTTCCCATATGTGTTTTGTTCCTCATTTGAATCCTCTTTTAATCTCTGAATGCTTGTGCTCTCTCTTCTTTGTTCTTTTTTGTCCTTTTCTTATTTCTGCCTTTTGAACATTATTAAGTTAGGTAAATCAAAATTCAAAGTATAGTCCAGGCAGAAGTAAACTCATTATTATATATTTTATATTTATATATTTTATATATACATTTTTTTTTTTTTTGAGAGACAAGATCTTGCTCTCTCAGGCTGGAGTGCCATGGTGGGATCATAGCTCACTACAGCCTTGAACTCTTGGGCTCAGCCATCTTCTTGTCTCAGACTCCTAAGTAGCCAGGACTACAGGCTTGTATCACATGCCCAGCTAATTTTTTTGTTTTTAATTTTTTGTAGAGATAGGGCTCTCATTATGTAGCACAGGCCAGTCTTGAACTCCTGGCCTCAAGCAATCCTCTTATCTTGACTTCCCAAAGTGCTGGGATTATAGACATGAGCCACTGTGCCCAGCCATTCATTAATTTGTTCATTCATTCATTCATTCATTCGATAGAGTCTCCCTCTGTTGCCCAGGCTGGTGCAGTAGCGCAATCTTGGCTCATTGCAACCTCCACCTCCCAGGTTTAAGCGATTCTCTCACCTGAGCTTCCCGAATAGCTGAGATTATAGGCATGTGCCACTATGCTAAGTTTTGTATTTTTAGTAGAGACAAGGCTTTACCAAGTTGTTCAGGCTGGTCTTGAACTCCCTATCGCAGGTGATCTGCCCACCTCAGCCTCCAAAAGTGCTGAGATTATTGATGTGAGCCACTGTGCCTGGCCTCGTGCACATTTTTAAAATTAAAGGCATTCCCCTGTAGTTAGAACTTTTATGGGCATCTCTCCAGCAGAGTTTGCAGTGAGCCGAGATGGTGCCACTGCATTCCAGCCTGGGTGACAGAGCAAGACCCTGACTGACTCAAAAACAGAAAAACAAAAAGGTTGTTGTGTTTTCTTTTTTTAAGATAGGGTCTCGCTCTATCACCCAGGCTGGAGTGCAGTGGCGCCGCCTTGGCTCACTGCAAACTCTTGCTTCCTGGGCTCAAGCGATCCTGCCACCTCAGCCTCCCGAGTACCTGAGATTACAGGCACGTGCCACCGTGCCCATTTAGTTTTTGTATTTATAGTAGAGATGGGTGTTTGCCATGTTGGCCAGGCTTGTCTTGAACTCCTGGCCTCAAGTGATCTGCCTGCCTCGGCCTCCGAAAATCCTGGATTTACAGGCATGAGCCACTGCACCCAACAACAACAACAAAAAAGATTTTTATTCCTGAAATATCACAGGGGGAAAAAAAAGAATAAAAAAAATATTTTTATGTGAAAATAAATTTTAATTTCCCTTGGGTAAATACTTGGGAATGAGATTGCTAGGTCATATGGATGAATGTATATTTAACTTCATAAGAAACTGCTGCACTGTTTCCCAAAGTGGCTGTGCCATTTTGCGTTCCCACCAGCAAAGTATGAGAACTCCAGTTGCTTTGCATCCTTGTCTACATTTATTATTGTCACTTTTTTTTTGATCCATTCTAATAGGTATGTAGTAGTATTTTACTGCAGTTTAAATTTTCATTCCCCTAATGATTAACAATGCTTAATGTTGTTCACCATCTTTGCATGTGCTTATTGGTGATTTGTATGTCTTTAATGAAGTCTCTGTTGAAATCCTTTGTTCATTTTGTCGGGAGGATTTTTGTTGTCTTATTAAGCACCTAAACTTCAGTGTGTAAGTTCTAATGGGTCTATCCTTGGGCCAAACTTGCGAGGTGTGAATTCTTCTGCATCTAGTCCAGAGCCACCACTTCAGTGTGTGCATTCTATTGAGTATAATTCTAGGCCAGATCCACAAAGTGTGAGTTTTTCTGAATCCATTCTGGGGCCCAAACTTCAGTGTGTTGATCCTAACGGGTGCAGCGCTGGGTCAAATTTGCAAGGTGTCAATTCTTCTGCATCCACTCCAGAGCCACCACTTCCATGTGTAAATTTTATTGGGTGCAATCGTGGGCTGAACTTGCAAGGTGTAAATTCCTCTGCACCCATTCCAGGGCCAAAACTTCAGTGTGCAAATCCTATTGGGTGCAACCTAGAATCATATTTATAAGGCACAAAATCTCCTGAATTAACTCCAGTTTCAAAACTTCAAGGTATGAAGTGTTCTGAATTGAACCCAGGGATAGAAATTCAAAGTGAGACATCTATGGTGTTCAACCCTAGACCATATTTGCAAGATTTAAAATCTGATTTGACTCCAGGGTCAAAGTCTCTACGTGTAGCACCTATGGAATACAACGCTGGGCCACAGGTGCAGTGTGTGAATTCCTCTCAGTTGAATCCAGGGCTAAAGTTACAATGTGTAAATTCTATGGAGTGCAAACTTGAGCCACACTTGCAAGGTGTAAAATCAGAGACAAAATTTCAAGTTATAAAATCTGAGTTGCATCCAGGGCCAGAGCTTCAAAGTATAAAATCGGTTGTGTTCAACTCTGTGCAACATTTACAAGATGTAAAATGTGAACTGACTTCAGGGACAAAATTTCAAGATGTAACACCAAAGGAGTTCAACTCTGGCCCACAGCTGCAAGGAATGAATTTTTCTGAGTTGAATTCAGAGTCAGAATTTCAATGCATAAATTCTATCAACTTGAATCCAGGGCCACATATACAAGACATGAAGCCCTCTGAATTGAACCCTGGGTCAGAATCTCAAGGTACAAAATCTATTCTGTTCAATCCCGGACCACACTTGCAAGGTGTGAAATCTTCTGAGTTAACTCCAGGGACTAAGTCTCAAGGAGTCCAATTTTTGGGGAAGCACCTTGGCTCACAGCAAGCTGTGGAACCTACATTCACTTTGGGTCCTCAGATAAATGGTATGAAATCTGAGGTATTTTTACCAGAGCCACTGCTTAAAGACACAGTCTGTGGAGATAAATAAGCAGCCATTGCTTTATGATGCAAATTCTGTGAAAATGATTTCAGCCTCTGAGGTGCCGGACTTAAAATATGAGGTATTTACACTAGAGCCATGTTTTCAAAAAGCAAAATCTGTGGAGTTAAAACCAGAACTATATCCTCAAGGTGTGAATTCTGAGGATTTGCATTCACACCTCAGGCAGCATAGTGTGAGATCTAAGCTATTTGTATCAGAGCCACGTTTTCAAGAGGTGAAATCTGTGAAGTCAACTCTATGGCCACAACCTCAAAGTGTAAATTCTTCCTCATCATGCCTTAGGTCACAATGTGTTAAATCTGTGACTTTGGTAAGGAAGACCCAGGCATCTGGGATCACCTCCCCCTTGACTTCCACATTGCATTTCAGTAGAAGAAAAGGCTAGACAACTGGCACCTCCTAAATCACCTTCCTGTAAATACCAGGCATGGTATAGGAGAATCTCTTCGGAAGACATTATTTTTACTTAAAAAAGATCGAACCCCCACCCAACTCCTCCATTGAACAAGACCCTTACACAAGTAATTCCTAAAACTAAACCCAAGACCCTTTCACTTGTAATTTCTAAGGCTGTAAACCTAAGATCCTTTCACGTGTAATATCTAGAGTGTAAGCCTATATAAAGGCAGAACTTGTCTTTGTTAGGCGAACTTTGCTGTTAGATAAATTGTTGCCTCACTCCCGGGCCATAATAAAACATCTCTTCCTTCCTAGTTCGGTGTCTGAAAGGTCTGTTTCTCATGGCCAATCCTGCTTCATTTGCACCAAAGCCATGTTTTCAATATATAAAACCTATGGAGCTGACACCAGGGGCCCAACAGCAAGGTATAAATTATCAAGAGTTGACTTCAGGATGGCAAGATGTGAAATCAATGGTGTTGGCACCAGAGCCAACTAGGAAGCTCCCATCAGGACCAGTGTTGACCAGTGTCAGATTTTCAAATTTGTCTCCAGAATCACAGCAACAAGGTGTGAAATCTTTGGAGTTTACTCTAGAGCCAAAGTTACAAAGTGTAAAACATGTGAAATTGTCTTCAATGTCTCTGCAGCAAACTATAAAATCTGTGGAATTAGCACCAGGGCCACTGCTTCAGACAGTGAAATATGGGGAGCAGACTCCAAGAACAAATGATCAAATCATGGCATCCTCTGAAATCATCCCTAGACTGGGGCATCAGTTTGCAAAATATGCAGAGATGATCCAACAGCCAAAGTATCAAGTCCCGAAATCTGCAAATTTGATTTCAATACCTATTTATCATGCCACAGAATTTTCAGAAATGGTGCAAGGATTGGCACATAAAGGCATAGATCCTATAGCGAAATCTGTGGGGTTGACCTCAAAGCTACCAGGTAGAGCTGTGGAATCTTTAGGGATGCTGCTGCAGCCAGATCTTCAAGTACCAAAATTTGTTGATCTGACTCCAATGCTAAGGAATCAAGGCTCAAAATTCTTAGGATTAACTCCAGAGAAAAGCCACCAAATCCTAGAAACTATGGAAATGCTCTCTCAGCCACGGCCCCAAGATACGGATTTGGAGGAGTTATATATAAAGCCATGGCAGCAAATTGTGGAATCTGAAAGGATTACCCCAGAACTCAAGCATTACTTTACAGAAGCTATGGGGTTGACCACTGAGGCAAGGATAGAAGCAAATGAATTCTTCGGAGTGACCCCAAAGCCAACAAGTCAAGACCCTGGATTTGCAGAGAGATCCCCAAGGCTCCGTTCTCAAGACTTAGAACCTGTGGAGGTGATCTCTCAGAAAAGATTGCAAAGGGAAGAATCTGTGGTATTGATTCCAAAGTCATTACATCACGTCCCAGATTCTGCTTCAGGGATGACACCTGGGTTAGGACATCAGTTTCCTGAATCTGTGGAGTTGACTTCTCAGTCAGGAGTGCAGGTGGAGAAAACTTTGGAATTAACTCCCAAACCACAACATCATGTGGGATCTTCAGCGATAACAGTAGGGTTGGGACATCAAGTCCCAGACTCTGTAAATCTGAACTATAAGCAATGGCTGCAAATGGAAGAATCTTTAGAGGTGCCCATGAAGGAAACAAGTCAAGTTATAGGACATGATGAATCTTCAGAGCTCACCTCTGAGGCATGGCAGCACAGGGAGGTATCAGTGTGGCTAACAAAGTCAAAGAATCAAAGTATGAAATCTCGAGGGACAACCCCAGGACCATTGGATACAATTTTAGAATTTATGAGGATTAGTCCAGAACCACTGGATCAAGTCACAGAATCTGCAAGGACACAGCTTCATGTTGCTCAGTCTGAAGAGGTAACCCTTGTAGATGTCCCAGAAGTTGTTCAGCCTGAGGAAGGGACCCCTGGACCACCATTTCAAGTTGTAAAGTCTGTGACAATACCAAGGCCAACCCCTCAAGTGGTAGAATATATTGAGCTGACTCCAAAACTGCAGGATGTGAGACCTTCAGAGCTGCCCTCAGGGCCATGTTTACAAGATGTGAAATCTAAGAAAATCACAAAGCCAAAACACCAGACTGTGGAAACAATGGAGTTGACAGGGTTTCAAGTTGCAAAAACTATGTTAATCCCAGGGCCACCCCTTCAAATTGTAAAATCTGAGGAATTAGCACCAGGACCAATTCCTCAGGCTGTAGAACCAATAGGAGTAGCCCTAGAATCAGGAATTGAATCAACAAGTTCTGTGAATTTACTTCCAAGGCCACATCTTCAAGAACTGATAGTACCTGTAGAATCAACTCTAAGGCCACATATTCAAGTGAAATTTGAAGAATTAACCTCACAGCAAATATCTCCATTTGAGGAACATACAATGTTGACTCATCAACAAGGACTTCAGGCTGTGAAATCTACAGTGATAAAAATAGAGCCTCTAAAAGTTATGGAATCTGAGGATTTGAATCTAGGACAGGTGTGTCAGAATAGGGACTGTGAGAAGTTTGTCAGGTCTCCATATGCAAGCCTGGAGCCTGATAGTCTGACATCCTGCTTGCCTCGGCTAATATCTCCCACCCCTTGCCTGGGTTCACCCTTGTCCCTGATTGCCCAGCTCCTGCTTCCCGGACAAACCCCTCATTCAACCCTGCCATCTTAATTGTTCTTATGATAATGTAAATACCTCTCACTCATCCTGCCATCTCACCCCCACCCTCCATTGTAACTGACTGCCCCTACCCCCCACCACTGTAACTGAACTTACTCTGCAACACCCCTCGCCCCCGAGAAAACTACCCAAACCTATAAAACCAACTCCTATCCCACTGCCCTTTGCTAATGCATTTTTTGGCCTTAGCCCACCTGCACCCAGGTGAATAAACAGCCATGTTGGTCACACAAAGCCTGTTTGGAAGGTCTCTTCATTCAAAGCACGTGTTTTTCAACATTTGGTGCCAGAAACCCAGGACAGGGGAGCTCCTATGGGAGACCAAACCCCAGTCCCTGTTCTCGTGCTCCCTCCATGAAGAGATCCACCTACTGACCTGGGGTTATCAGACCAGCCCACAGACACACACCACCGGCTATTTTGGTAAGCAGTCTGTCTTTTTTGCTTTCCTATCCTTTTGTGTTTTCCCTTCCACTTCCTCTCCCTTTCAGTTTCGTCCTCGTCCTTTTTCCACCGCAAAGACAAGGAAAATCAGGTAAGTCAAGTTCTTCCATGAGGTTCATGACCAGAAAATCCTATGCAGGTCACGGATCCGGGGACCCAGTTTCCCTGGGGGTTTGACTATCATGGAGACCGTTCACCCTAGTCACTCGCCCACCAGGCTCATGGCTGATATTGGTGGCAGGTCAGTGTAGAGGACACTCTCTTTGACCACCCACCAATGACCAGGTTCAACCCCGGCTCAACTAGGGACGCCTGTTGAGTGTCTGGACAATCGTCCCTCCTCTATCCCTCTCTTCTTTCCTCTGGCCTGGGAAACCTCAAGCCTCTACAACTGTCTCCTGACCTGAGACCCAAATGTCTCATCTTCTTCTGTAACACCGCATGGCCACAATTCAAGTTAAACAATGGCTCCGATTGGCCAAAAATGGCACTTTCAACGTCCCTATTTTACAAAAGTTAAGATAATTTTTGTTGCAACATGGGTAAATGGTCTGAAATTCCCTACATCCAGGCATTTCTTTACACATCAATCCCTCCCTAATCTCTACTCCTTCTCATCCCTTCCATCTGCCCCTCCTTCCTTTGCCAGTAAGCCAGAATCCTTGTCCATCAACCTTTCCAAACGTTATCCTCCCCAGCTGTCTGAACCCTGCCCTAATCCAGAACCTAACCCCATCCTCCAGAGCCTTCCTTCTCTTTCTCTGCCCACAACCCACCTCCTTATGCCCCTCCTGTCACCTCCCCACCTCATACAAGGCCCAGCTCACAGTTTAGTCTCTGGGCTACTTCCTCTGTCCCTCCCCAACAATTCCCCCTTTCAGAGGTGGCTAAGGCCAAAGGCATAGTTAGGGCGCATATTCCTTTTCCTTTATCCAATCTTTCCAAATTGGCCACGAGTTAGGCTCCTTTTCATCAAATGCTCCAATACTTAACCCAGTCCTATAATCTCACCTGGAGTAACTTAAATGTCATCCTTACTTCTACTCTTACCCCTAAAAAATGCTTAATATGCATTTTATCACCCAAACAACCCCAACATTACAGAAAGGTACAAAAATTAAAATCTGGCCCTCAAACCCCACAAGAGGAATTAAGCAACCTCACCTTCAAGGTGTTCAATAATAGGGAAAAATCTGCCCGGCAGCAGCGCATCTCAGAACTACAAATGCTTGCCTCTTGCCTAAGACAAACCCCAGCCACATCACCAGCTCACAAAGACTTAAAAGCGCCCAGATTGCATTGCATCCAGCCACTCTGCCCGGACCTTGCTTCAAGTGTGGGAATCCTGGCCACTGGGCCAAGAAATGCCCCAAACCTGGGATTTCTCCTAAGCCCTCCCCCATCTGTGTGGGGGCCCCCACAGAAAGTTGACTGTCCAACTCACGTCGCTGCTCCCGCAGCTCCTGAAGCTCCAATCCTTGGCTTGGTGGCTAAAGACTAACGCAGCCCAAGCATCTCAGAAGCCCCCTGAACCATCACGGACACTGAACTTCGGGTAACTCTTATGGTGGAGGGTAAGTCCATCCCTTTCTTAATCAACACAGAGGCTACCCACTCCACGCTGCCTCCTTTTCAAGGACCAGCCTCCTTGGTCTCCATAACTGTTATGGGAATTGATGGCAAGGCCTCCAGGCCTCTCAAAGCTCCCCAAGTCTGATGTCAATCAGGCCAACACTCCTTTCCACATTCTTTCCTAATCATCCTCACTTGTCCAGTTCCCCTGTTAGGCCAAGATATCCTAGCAAAATTGTCTGCCTCCTTTACTCCTGGGCTACAGCCACACCTCATTACCGCCCTCCTCCCCAAACCTGTACCTCCCTCAATAGCTCCCCTTATGTTCCCCAATCTTAACCCTAGGGTGTAAAACACCACCTTCCCATCTATTGCTACAAGTCACTCACCCCTCATCATCCCCTTAAAACCTAACCACCCTTACCCTGCTCAGCCCCTGTACCCCATCCCACAACAGGCTTTAAAAGTAAAGCCTGTTATCACCTGTCTATTGCAACATGGCCTTTTAATTCACCCTCCTGCTTCTTCAGCATCTATACTCAAAAGGGTATCGTGTATCCCCTTCCAAAGCCCAAATTTCTTTCCCATCTGTTATAATCTTTCACCAGCATACACATGCTCTCTCTGCCAACTGTATCCAGTTAATTTCCCAAACCCCAACCCCATCCACCAAACAACAGCTTCTCTCCTTCCAGGGTGTGGTTGCTGCTTTCACCTCTGGATACCACGTTTTGCTATTCTAACTAAGCCATTGTATAAACTCACTAAAGAAAACTTATCCAACCCTATTAATCCTAAATCCTTTCTCCTTAAAAAACAGCTCTAAAAACTACTCCCTTCCTAGCTCTTCCCAACCTGTCTCAATACTTTTTCATTATATACAACTAAAATCCAGGGCAGTGCGGTTGGGATCCTCACATAGGAGCCAGGCCCATGGCCTGTAGCCTTTTTATCCAAACAACTTACCTAACAGTCCTGGGCTGGCCCGCATGACAATGTGCAGCAGTAGCTGCTGCCCTAATAGTCTTAAAATCCCTCAAAATCACAGGCTATGCCCCATTTACCCTCTAGCTCTCACAACCCCTAAAGTTTTCTCTTTACACCTCACACACTTACTTTCAGCCCCTCGCCTTCTCCACCTTTATGCAGTGGCCCCTACTACTTAAAACACACCTCAAAAAGTCTGTTTCTATTAGTTTCTGTCTAACTGTGCTCAAATTCACTGTACGCATTTACTTTTACATGCCCTGCTTTGAGTTGCCGGTTTACACTTTTCCTCCAGGTAATTACAGCTGATATTTCACTCTTAATCTGGCTCCCATTCTCTGCTCAAACCCAATCTTGTTAATAAAAGTGGTTGCTTATAGACCACACGCTTCCTCATATACCGTAAAAACAAAAGCTCTCCCTCCACACAGTTAACCTCTAATACTGTCTTTCTCCTTCTCTTATTTAAACTCTGTGTTTTTCCAATTAGTCTCTGAATTCCTACAAAATTGTATATAAGCGATAACCAATCAGTCAATATATGACAAATGCTCCTTCTAACGATCCCACAATACTACCCCTTTCCCCAAAATCTCTAGCAGTCTAAATTCTTTCCCATTTTTAGGTTTCCACCCTGCCCCCAATCCCACTGGAAGAAGCCTTGAGAAACTTTGCCCGCACAGACTAAAACCTGTTATTGCTCATTCTTGTCTAATTCTTTCTCCCTATATATAAAAAGACAGGTGTGTCATGTCTCCATATGTAAGCCTGGAGCCTGAAAGTCTGAAGTCCTACTTGCCTCGGCTAATGTCTCCCACCCACTGCCTACATTTGCCATTGTCCCTGATCACTCAGCTCCTGCTTCCCAAACAAGCCCCTCACCCAACCCGATCATCTTAACTGTTCTTATGATAATGTAAATACCTCTCACCCAACCCGCTATCTCACCCCCACCCTCCATTGTAACTGGCTGCCCCTACTCCCCACCACTGTAACTGAACTTAGTCTGCAACACTCCTGCCCCCCAGAAAACTACCCAAACCTATAAAACCAACTCCTATCCCACTGCCCTTTGCTAATGCCCTTTTTGGCCTCAGCCCACCTGCACCCAGGTGAATAAACAGCCATGTTGCTCACACAAAGCCTGTTTGGAAGGTCTCTTCATTCAAAGCGTGAGTCTTTCAATAAAGTTAACATCAGAAGAGTTACAAATAGGGACTGACTTCTCTAGGTTCCACAAAGCTCTTCAACCTCACTTAAATAATTCAAGCTCTGTCAAAACAGCATCTGAATTAGGAGGACTTTGGGATTCTGGGATACAGAGAGTATCCAGAGCTTTGGATGTAAAAAACCTTGGGACAGATATTTTGCAGCCTGAAGAGACCTATCTAGACCCTACTATGATGCAATCTTTAACTCCTCCTTTGGCCCTTCATAATCAAAGCTCTGATAAGACAGCTAACATTGTGGAAAATCCATGCCCTGATATTCCAGGAGTGGATGATCTAAAGAGACAATTACAAACGGAGGAGCTAGACAACTCACTTCAGAGACATCTGCCACAAAGCTGGAGATCACTATCTAGGACATTCTGGGCAGAATCAGGGGCTCAAAAATCCCTCATCAAGTCTTTCCTGGGCAGACAACACAACATCTGGGAGAGTCATGCCTGGAGGAGGTGACTACCAAGAAAATATCTCTCCAGTATGCTAATGCTGGGGGAATGTTTTAGGGACCACTATGGAAAGGAAGCTTTGTTCTCAAACATCTCTAGCAGAAAAAGCCACTGCAGATACCTGTCAGTCTATTCAGAATTTATTTGGGATTCCAGCTGAACTGATGGAAGCTTCCCAGAGGCTGCCAGAGAAGGGCCCAGTTACTATTTCTCAGCCTTCAGTGGTCAAAAACTAACTGAGAGACATACTTCATATTACATTCATAAGAAAATAATGGCCTTAAAAATGTGGACACATCGCTCCACATCTTCCATAATACGGCAATACTCTGGGACGAGAGTGGGAATAAAGACAACAAGCTCAAGGTTCAGTGGTATATCCCAAGAAGTCATTCAGCATACGCCTGTCACATGTGCCAGGGGGTCAGCTTCCTGTCCTGGTAAAGTCAGAGTCTTCCATCAGCATATTTTCCAACAGAGAAGATCTTGTTCCAATGGAAGAAAGTGAGAACTCACAGAGCGATTCCCAAACAAGGATTTTTGAGTCCCAACACTCCCTCAAGCCAAATTATCTTCCCCAGAATGACTTTTCAGAACAGCTCCAGTTGCTACAAGATTTGCAGCTAAAAATAGCAGCAAAACTCTTAAGGAGTCAAATATACCCCCCCCATGTGCCTCCGCCTCTAGCCTCAGGTCTAGTCCTAAAGTACCCCATCTGCCTACAGTGTGGCCGATGTTCAGGATTTAACTGCCATCATAAATTACAGACCACTTTGGGGCCTTATCTTCTGATCTATCCACAGCTCCACCTTGTAAGCACTCTTGAAGGCCATGGTGAGATTCGGTTGCACCTTGGCTTTAGGCTGCGAACCAGGAAAAGACCCCAAATCTCAAAGTATCTTGAAAGAGATAGACCCGTCATACGGCAAAGAACTATGTCACCATCACAAAGGAAAGCTAAAATCCATGCTCAAGCTTCCAAGAGTCCTACTTCCACGATAGATTTGCAGTCTGGTCCTCCCAGTCCCCTGCTCCTGTACAAGTCTACATCAAGCGAAGACAACGCAGCAGCCCTGACCTGGAAGAAAACACAATAATTAGAGCACCTGGACACTATGAATCCATTCAGGTTCACACCCTATCAGAGAGTGACTCTGAAAGCACTCAGAATGAGAAACGGGCTAAAGTGAGAACCAAAAAGACCTCTGGTTCAAAATATCCAATGAAGAGAATGACCAAGGGACTTAGAAAACACAGAAAGTTCTACACAAGCAGTAGAACCACAATAGAGAGTCCCTCTGGGGAATTATCAGCCCATTTAAGAAGGAAGACGATTGGAGCAGCTCAGACAAGTACTGCCTCCTTAAAAAGACAACCGAAGAAACCTTCCCAACCCAAGTTCATGCAACTGCTTTTTCAGGGCCTAAAGCGGGCATTCCAAACAGCATACAGAGTTTTAGCTTTTGTTGGGCAGAAGCCTGGTGACAGGACAATCCCAGACAATTTGTGGGCAAGCAAAAACTATTATCCAAAGCAAAATGCCAGGGACTACTGCTTACCCAGCAATATCAAAAGAGACAGGAGGTCAGCTGACAAGCTAAGGTCAGCAGGCTCAACCATTAAGCAGGAGGACATATTGTGGGAAGGGACAGACCAGTGCAGTTCAGCTCAACAGCCTAGAAGAGCTCACTGTTTCCAACCCAGACCTCTTCGACTGCCCAAGCCCACAGGTTCCCAAAGTGATATCACTTTCCAAGCTGCCTCAGTGGAGCAGCCTCTGGGAACTGTCCAAAAGGACGGTAGTAGCAGATCAAAGAAAATGAAATCTCCAGCCAGGAGTCTAAGAACTTGCCCCCACCAGGAACCAGAGTTCAGGCCCAAGGAAGAATCCTACCTGGCTCCCCTGTGAAGAGAACCTGGCACTGACACCTTAAAGAGAAACTCACACACGAGGAGCAAAACCACCCCAGCTTCTATAGGGAGAGAGCCCCACGCAGTCCTTCTGAGAGAACCCGTCATAACCGCTATGGAGAAATCATCACAGTCCCTCTGACAGATGTCATTTCAGCTTCTTTCGGAGAAAACATCGCAGTCCCCTGGAAAGGAGCCATCACAGTCTCTCTGAAAGGGGCCATCGCAGTCCCTCTCAGATACATCATCGCAGTTCCTCTGAGAGGAGCCGTCACAGTCCCTCAGATAGATATCCTAGTCTCTCTCGTAGAAATCATCGTAGTCCCCTTGAGAGGAGTTGTCACAGTCTCTCTGAAAGGGGCCATCATAGTCCCTCTAAGAGAACCATCACAGTGTCTCTGAGAGGAGCCAACGCAGTCCCTTTGACGGGAGATGTCACAGGTCCTCTGAGAGGAGCCACTGCACGTTCTGTGAGAGAGCCCATCATGGTCCCTCTGAGATGAGGCCAGAGAGGCCCTCTGGGAGAAGCCTTCACAGTCCCCTTAAGTAGGGTCTCAAGCACAGTTCCCCTGGGGAGAACATACAGCCATATATGTATAGAGATTTGAAGAATGGAACAAGCCTCCTCAGGACTACACACAAAAATCCCCAAGCAGGGCAAGTGTGGAGGCCTGAAGCTACTCACAGAGGCGAGATCCACCCCTATTATTCATTGTCTCCCTCAAGTCTTCACCGTGCTGCCCTTTCCAGCCTTCTTTCTTGCTTAGCCATTGCTTCCAGTTCCTGCACCCCCAGTGTGGAAAGGCTTCCATGTCTCTCTACTGGGGGAGGCACGCGAGAATGGGTCTGTAATCTCTCTAAGATCAATAAGGCGGCAGTAACTGGTCTCCCTGTGCATCTAGACTGAGACCACTGGGCGGGTGGGTAGGGAAGGCAGGGTGGTGGGACACGAGGAGCTGTACAAAGGTTCAGAATGAGAGCAGGGGTTTTGAGGCTGGGCACAGGCTCCAAGCTCCGCCCCTTCATTCTAGACCCCACCCACAGGTTCCCAGGTCCCAGGTTGTGATCCCAGTGGGGCGGGATCTCAGAGGAATTGCAGGGTGGCTCCTCATGTGACTTGCTCCGGCTGCAGCCCCGCTGCTAGGCAGAAGTAGATGTTCAGAAGAGGGCTACGTGGGGCCGAGTCCACATCCAGGAGAGGTGAGGAGAGCAGAAGTGGCCTTGGTCTGGCCGGAGCCCTTGGGTGAAACTGTTAGAAGTGGGGAGGAAGTGATGCCTTCCAGACTCTGTGCTGTACCTGCTGTGAGTTTCTTGGTTTGACCATCATGTTTTAGAGGCAGCACTGTCGAGCCCAGAACATGCGGTCCCTCACTTTTGTCCCATGCTCAGAGTTGGTTTTATCAGAGGCCATCATAGGCCCCACCCTCCTAGATCAGATCATCTGTCTCTTTTCTTTACCCACGTTGTGCTGCCTGTTCCCCATCTCCTTGGATTTAATTCCTCGCCACACTGCCATTAGTTTCTATTCCTTTACATCCCCAGAGTCTCTCATATCCATTGTCTTTTCTTTTGGCTTCCCTTTTAGAGCCTGGGACAGGACTTTGAGAATGGGAAGGATGAAGGCTCTGGTATTGTTACCCGTCTTTGCACTGCTGGAAGATAGGACAGCACATTTTTCCTAAAAAGTGTTGCCTTCTTCTGTTTGAGGTGATTTCCCCAGGAGAACTTCATTTCTTCTGGGTATTTTTAGTAGAGACAGGGTTTTACCATGTAGGTAAGGCTGGTCTTGAACTCCTGATCTCAAGTGATCCACCTGCCTCGGCCTCCCAAAGTGCTAGGATTTCAGGTACGAGCCACCACGCCCAGCTATGTGGTCTACTATTGACCAAAATGTTGTTATGTGGTATATGACTGTATATATCCTGTTGGCTTCTCCAATACAGTATGTCTTATTATTTGTGACACATACTGGCCTGCCTTAATTTGCTGGAGGCTTCTTTTCAGGAATTGGTGAGGGGGGCGCGGAGCCAATGCTTTGTCATGTTCCCTGTCTGGCCAGTTCCTGTGCCTGGAGCTCCTGTCCAAGTCCTCCCTCCTTTTTCACAGATCCTTCCTGACTACTCTAGTCCACACAGATCTCACTGTTCTCTGAATTCTAAGTCAAGCAATTTGGTCTTTACTCAGATATGATATTAACTGAGCCATGTGTTAGTCCAACTCCCCTAACTTTTCGCTGTCAGGACTCTGTCTTATATCTGCTTAACAGCCTTCAGAGGTTCTGGCTCTATCATCCAGCAGGAGCTCCACAGATTCCTGCTACCTGATTGAAAAGGAAAAGACACAGAGACAGCTGTAGATGTGAGAAGGGAAGCTGAGTGTGAATGGAGGCCTAGGAAGAAGGAGGGCCCGAAAGAGCCTGCTGCCCTCACCTTCATCCAGCACTTCTCCATTAGGCCGCTGTTTCCAGAGTCTCGCACTTTGAGGTAGCAGTCCATGGCACGGCTGTACTCTCCAGCCTGCTCCCAGTGTTGAGCTTGTTCCACGAGTCCCTCCACACCCCTGTGGAGATTGGAGCACTGGGACTAGGCATGGGGGGGCAGTGTGCTCTGTCCTGTGCATGCCTCATGGCCCTCCCAGCCCTGCCACTGCTGCTGGACCTCTGGCCTCATACCTGGCCCCCTTCTTAGTAGCTTCCTGCTCATACTCTTCCTGCAGAGCCTCCAGCTGGCCGGGCTCATAGTCCTTGCAGATCCGCAGCGTGTCACTCCATAATCCAGCCTCCTGCTCAGATTTCCAGGTATCAAGACGGCAGAGGCAGGCAGGACAGCTTCCCACTGCCACACAGGTGCCCTGGCCCACGGACTCCTGGGTCCTTAGACCTCTCTTCTCCTTCCCCTTTCCTTTCTTTCCCTCTCCCCAGTACTAACCTCCCTGATCTTTCTTCATACCAGGGGTCAATGTGGCTCTCTGTGGGTTCTCAGACCCTCTCCCCCGCCCCTCATGGCCCTGAATCCAGTGCCCCACCTTATAATAACTGAAAGTCAGGCCTGATCTCTGGGCCCGGAGCAGAAGCCCTTCTACTTTCTGAAAGTCCTCCTCCTCCAAGGCCCTCTGAGCCTGTCCCACAAGCACCTCAGTGACACTGTCAGGGTCATGGGCCTTGGCCACACGCTGAGCTGCCTCCCAGTCCTGGTTATAGACAAACCTGCCCCCAAATGGGGACAGAGGAGAGAATGTGTATAGGACTAAGTCCCCAATTCTGGGAGACAAACAGCCATGTCACTGAGGGGTGTTAACACTGATTTGTTCTAGGTTTGAATGAAGGTCAAGATAATCATGAAAGATCCTGGGACTGGGACTGGGGAAACAGGATTAAGGAATGTATGGGGTAACTCACATGAGGACTGCTTCCTTGGGTTTACCAGCTCTGATGAATTCAGCTTCAGCCTCTTCCAATTTACCCTACAAGGAGAAGGACAGCCGTGTGTGATGGGAAGGAGACCGGCATCACAGGCAGCCCCGTGACTGGGGTCTACACACCAGGAAGCAGTGCACTAGGGGATGGAACAAGAGGGCTCTGCGGTCAGGGTCCAAATCACACCCATACCTCATCCTCCAGGTACATAGCGTATTTGAGTTGGATCTCGGGGTTTTGTGGTTGACAGCCAGCCGAGAGAGTTCAAAAGCAAATTCAAAGTTGCTGAAACAAAAGGTGCAGATAAAGTTTTCTTACTTCACACTTCCCTTCATAAAAGGAACAAGACAAAACAGAAAGGACAGGGTTGAGGGGAGAAAAAGTGACAGGTTTAAGGATAACAGACATGAAGTGACAGAAAAGCACAGAGATAAAAAGGAAGACAGGGAGGCAGCCCTGTGAAGACCACGTCACTGTCCGCATGGATCAAGAGACGTCTGGAAAAGCCTATGCCTTCCCTGAGGCCAGCTGCTCCTGAGGAAGGAGAATGGGCCTGCGAAGGGGAAGGGAGGGTGAGCCTCGAAGTCCTATGCTGACAGGGCCAGGAGGGCTCCTGGTGCTCACCACCTCCTCCTGAGCCCCAGCTACATTATCAGAAACACAGTCTGTCCAAAAAATGAGCAAGATCACCCTCAGCATTGGACTCCACGATTGGCATTTACAACAGTTGCTTAAGAAAAGTTCACTTTGCTCTTTCCGCCATCTTTCTGCGCCGCCGCAATGGTGCACATGAATGTCCTGGCTGATGCTCTCAAGAGCATCAGCAATGCCAGAAAGAGAAGCAAACACTAGGTTCTTATCAGGCTGTGCTCCAAAGTCATCATCCGGTTTGTAAGTGTGATGATGAAATATGGTTACATTGGGTGGATTTGAAATCACTGATGATTACAGAGCCAGGAAAATTGTTGTGAAACTCACAGGCAGGCTAAACAAGTGTGGAGTGATTAGCCCCAGATTCAACATGCAACTCAGATCTAGAAAAATGGCAGAATAATCTGCTCCCATCCTGCCAATTTGGTTTTTTTGTTGTTGAGATGGAGTCTCACTCAGTTGCCCAGGCTGGAGTGCAATGGCAGGATCTTGGCTTGCTGCAACCTCCAACTCCCAGGTTCAAGCGATTCCCATGCCTCAGCCTCCCAAGTAGCTGGGACTACAGGTGCCCGCCACCATGCCCAGCTAATTTTTGTATTTTTAGTAGAGATGGGGGTTTCACCAGATTGGCCAGGCTGGTCTCGAACTCTGGACCTCGTGATCCACTCACCTCAGCCTCCCAAAGTGCTGGGATTACAGGTGTGAGACACCGCGCCCGGCCACCAGTTTGGTTTTATTGTACTGACAACCTCAGCTGGCATCACGAACCATGAAGAAGCAAGACAACAACACATCGGAGGGAAAATGCAAGGATTCTTTTTCTGGAGATGTAATACATATTTACAAATAAAATACCTCATGAGCTCTGGTGCTTCCAAAAAAAAGAAGAGTTCACTTTGCATTTGAAGAATCACACTTCCACTACCCAGATGCAAGTGACTGGCTTAGTGCAGTCTGCAGTGCTAGCTTTACAATCTGTTCCCTCTCCACCCTTCTTAGAACGGCCAAAGAGTAAACACTGTTCTGAGCCCTAGGGAATAGGAGCAGTTAATTTATTCTTGCCACTCTATCATGTCCTTCCAAGGATCTTCCTTTACCACATTTCTTCATTCTTACCTCTGCTTCTGGAAATATTTTTCAGTTATACATCAATCTTCTTTATCTAGAGAGGGCCTCTGGCTGGGATGGGGCTTGTGGAGAGAATGTTTGGGGCCTCACCAATTGTCTGCAGCATGGTCAACAGAAGCTTCCAGGAGTCCCAGCTTGGTAAGCAGTCTAACTGCAGCTTCTCCTCCCAGGCTCTTTGCCCACAGATAGGCCACGTGTTTGTGGGCATTAGCCCCTCCTTGAGTCCTGGCCACCTGTAAAGCAAACTCACTCAATAATCCTCCAATACAGAGTTGCTCCCTTCTCATCTCTGACCTTGGCTTTGACAAGGATCCAGTAACTGTTCTAAGTTAACAGGGAGAGGCTGGGTGCAGTGGCTCATGCCTGTAATCCCAGCATTTTGGGAGGCAGAGGCAGGCCAATCACTTGAGGCCAGGGGTTCAAGACCAGCCTGGGCAACATGGTGAAAACCTGCCTCTATAAAAAAATTTAAAAATTAGCCAGGTGTGGTGTGCACACCTGTAGTCCCAGCTACACAGGAGGTTGAAGTGGGAGGATCCATTACTTAAGCCCAGCAGGTCAAGGCTGCAGTGAGCTGTAATTGCATCACTGCACTCCAGCCTGGGTGACAGTGACACCCTGTCTGAAAAAAAAAAAGAAAAAAGAAAAAAAAATGTGGGAAAAAATGATGCATGTATCCCTTAGTGTGGCCTGAATTCCTTACCCCATAGGCCTCTTCCCAAAGCCCACTGGCTCGGTACATGTTCACTGTTGCCTTCCATTCCTGGGCCTCGAGGTAGTGGTACTCGGCCTCCTGTAGTCGGCCTTCAGCCTCCAGCTCCTGCAGGAAGGTGAGTCAAGATGGAAGGATGGGAAGGTGGAGCCTGGTTGGGGAAGAGATAGGTAGAGCCAGGAGAAGGGCTCACCTTGCCCAGATGTAGGTGTGTGTCATTGAGATCTGGATGGTGCTTCCCAACCAGGCGGATCATGTCATCATACAGCTTGTGCTTTTTGTACATGGTGATGGCAAGATTAGGCTCTTCTACTGTCACATAGAGCCTGGGGAAGGGAGATACACCTAGGGCCTCCTAGACCCAGATCCCTGCCGTCTCTGCCTTCTGGGCAGAGGGTACACATCCTGAGACCCCATCCCTCCTCCCAGCAATGAAATCTCATCTATCCCTACACCTCCTCTGAGGCCACGGCTCACCTTTCAGCCTCACGGTACTTGCCCTGCTTCCCCATTTCCTGGGCCTGGGTGATGTACAGCACTGACACATCTTCTGGTCTCATGCATTTCATTGCCAGCTGTGGAGGCACAGAGGAAGGGTAGCCTCAGGTCCAATTCCCCAGGGAAGCAGGCCTTCAAGGGAACCTGTTTTTTAGGAACTCTGAACTCTCCCAACAATCACAGAAGTTTGGTTATTGCCACTCTACTAGTCAGGTCGGGGAATTCCAAGTCCATAAGGAGCAGAGGAAGAACTATATTCTGCTAAGGTGGGAGGGTCTGCAATGCCTTGTGCTGGGACATACACTCCCATTGCCACTGTAACCACTGGGCTCTGAAGTGTAGGGCAAGAACAAAGACATCATTGTGACCAGAGCCCTCAGGAGTGGTAGTTCAGATTCTGCAGCTCCCGAGCCCATCTGTTCCTTCAAGAATGATAGACAGGTCTGGAAACAAGGGCCTCCCTTCATCCCTTCCTTTCTCTGTGGCTAGGGATCAAAGTGGCTCAGACTGTTTTTTGATACTTTTTGTCAGCTTTCAGGGAGCCAAGCAAAGAGGAGAAACAGACCCAGCAATGAGGCCACACTGCCACTAAGGCAGAGTTCTCTTATCATGAACTCCACCCATCTCTACCTTGTGGGCCTGTTCCCAATAGCCAGCCTGGGTGTTCACATCTACGGCGTCTTTTGTCCAGTCTCCCTTAGTATAGAGCTCCTCAGCAATCTGTAGTTGATGAGAGGTAGACACAAAAGGTCAGAGCAACAGACTTAAAGTAGCTTCAACAAGGAAAGAACAAACCTCAGCTGAGATGGTAGAAGGCCTGTGATATGACCTTATAGTAATAGAGAAGAAAAGATGAGTATGGGTGTCTCACACAGTCTACCATTTAAAAAGAAAGGCCAGCCCCAAACAGTACGAGGACAATACAGTGGAATTCAAAAGGGCCTCACGTTTCTGCAATGCAAAGCAATTTTATATTGTAACTATGTTAGAGTTATTCATGAAGAATCACTCGTGCTGGCTGGAACAGAGCTAGAGACTCACTTTATATATCTGGGGTGAAGGGAGGTATCTGTGTCACGCTGGAATGAAATTGGGAAAGTAAACTGTTCTTTTCTCATTCAAGGTGGTGATGCTGTTTGGGGCCCAGAAAGAAGGATCAGGTGAACTGGCCTCCACTTCCTGTTTCAGGTTCTCTCACTGTTATCCTCTACTGCACCTCATGCTGCGGAAAGGACTCTCCCTCACCTCATACTCCTGCAGAGATGTGTTGGGCCACGAGAGGACAGTATTTGGACGCGGTGTTCCGGTCCTGTAGATCTAATATATAAATTGCCTTCTTCCACTGGCGGGCACCCAGGGTGGCCTCAAATTGTCTTAATGGAGCACATGGCAAAGTTGGGAACGATATAAATATGTAGGCTGAAAGATGAAGATGAACGGAGGTAAAGGGACCCCTTAAGCACACTTCCCCCTACATTTTGAGATCTCTTCTTTTCGGCCTTGGTGTCCTTACTGGCTCCACTGCCCCTCACTTCACACCCAAATGTCCTTTACACTCCCATACTCCCATACCTGGCTTCGATGTAGTGATTAATGGCTGCATCAAGCTGCTTCTGCTGCACCAGGTGGTCCCCCCATGCCTCCTCTAGTTTCACCACCTCCCCTGGGAAGGCCAATCGAGCCAGCTCTACCGCTGCCAGGGAGAGAAAAGGTGCTCAGCCCAGACTTCCATGGATGGACCTCAGGAAAAAGGTAGGACAGGGAGATGAAGCACGGAGTGAGAAGGGGAAGAATGGAGAACTGGAGCCAGGCAACCTGAACACACGCACCAAGAGGTGCTGGGGAGACGGATGGGCAAGGGTCCATAACAGTAAAGGATGGCTTATAGGGGGCTAGTACCTTTCATGAACGCATTCCCTTTACGGTAGCACTCCAGGGCCTGCTGTGGATTGTGAATCTTCTCAAAGAGATCACCTGCCTGTTAACACATACCCCATTACTATGGTACCCCTACAACGCAAAGAATCCAGTATTAGCTCCAAAAACAAGGGAACACCAGCAGTCAGGAAGCACTCTGTGCCCTGAGACTCCTCTGGGCGAGAGAAGGGTCCTGAGCTCTGGAGATAAGGGCTAGGAAGAGGAAGTGAGCACACCCTTTCGTAGAGTTCCCCCTTGATAAGGGCTGCAGTGATGTGTTCTACCAGCTCTGTGTTGGCTAGCAGTTCCTCTCGGGACAGCACCAACCGAGCAGCTTTGGCAGGGAGCCCATCTTTGAGGTAGAGGCTGAAGGCTGCTAGCCCATCTCCTTGGCTCTCCTGTAGTTCACCTGCTCGCTCCTCCTGCTGTGTGTCCACCAGCCACTGGTAATAACTCCAGCATAGATTCTCCAGGGCTGGGTGAGAACTAGGAATCACAGCCCTTCCTACCCTTGTGCCTCCCACGCTTCTCCAATCCCTCTGTAACAAGGGAAATCCTCCTGGGTGAGCAGTATCCTAACTCCTCATCACATCAAGTCCAAGCCCCAACCCTGTTCTGGTTTCTATGGCCTCCTTGACAAAAGAAGGTTTTGAAATTGGCAGAACCAAATTCTGAACAACTGTGGAGAAGACAAAATAGATACCTTGGCTTGAGCCACAACGATACACTCATCCGAACGGTGTAGCTCCTGGTACATGCCCATGGCCTCCTCCACAGCATTTGAGGGGAAACAGGCAGAGCAGAGAGGATGACAGAAGGATTTGAGGATCAGAAAGCAGCAAGTTCTCCTCAGCCTGGCTAAGATGGCAGCACATGAGGACCAAAAACCTTACCTTTTAACTACTATACCAGCGAAAATATTGGGAAACTAAAAAAAAGCTTAAGCTTCAGGGCTCCTTATTTGCACAAGCCCTTTCCAAAGCAACTGTTCTTTGTTTTTGAGATGTAGTCTTGCTCTGTCGCCCAGGCTGGAAGGCAGGGGTGCGATCTCAGCTCACTGCAGCCTCCGCTTCCTAGGCTCAAGCGATTCTTCCGCCTCAGCCTCCCAAGTAGCTGGGATTACATACAGGCGTGTGCCACCAAAGCTGGCTAATTTTTTTTTGTATTTTTAGTAGAGACGGGGTTTCATCATGTTGGCCAGGTTGGTCTTAAACTCCTGCCCTCATGTGATCCACCTGCCTCAGACTCCCAACGTGCTGGGATTACTGGCGTGAGCCACCACGCCCAGCCTAAGGCAACTGTTCTTAAAGAGAGTTCCTCAAATTGTGTAAGTTTCCAGCCACAAACAAAACGTGGATCGAACCCTATGCACAAGAATTGCAAAGACAGGCTCCGGACTGGAGGGGAGGAAGCAGACTGCTTATGAAAGAAAGAAGTAATCAAAGGCCCAAGAAGGAAGTTTGTCTAGAAAAGTAAGGACTAACACAAGAGGAGGAAATAAAGGAAGGGGTGAAATTAACTATGTAAATCTCTCTGAAAGCTTTCCCCAAACATTTGGAAGCCTCGCTCACCAGCACACTTTCCTCCCTTGAGTTTGCTCCCCCTTTTCCGTCTTTTTCCCTCATATCCCCCCTGCATCCTGTCCCTCTTTTGCTATTACCTGTTCCAAAAAGATCATTTCAGCCAGTTTGTGGTTCTTTTCCAGCACTGCTAAACATGCTCAGACCTGATAAAAGTCTGTCCCTTCTCCACCCTGTGGGGAAAAAGGAGGTTCTGGTTTTTCTGTAGTTGCTGCTGTTCTGTCTGTGAGGGCTGAGATTAGAAGGCCAGATGGATGTAGAAAATAAAAGACCTTATGAATCAACAGGAAGTTAGAAACAAAAAATAAGAAAGAAAATATTTGGGAAGGTAAAACACTTCATGGAGCTTAAAGGTTTGAGGTTTAGCGATTCTGAAATGGTCTGACTGGTGGGTAGAGGTGGGGTGGGCAGGGTAAAGGAAACTAGGGATGGCTGGAAAGCTAGGAATCATAGGGCTGAATACTACGAGAAATCAGTTTGGGAGATGGAATGAATCAGGAGCATAATACTTGCATATTCCCGGGATACTTGATCTGCAATCTCATTGGTCTCATGCAGGAATTGAGCTTTTGCTACTTGGCCCAAAGCAGAAAAGCACCTACGGCATGGAAGCAAAGACATTAATATTATTACAGAATCGTCATTAATTCATTGGTTCAGCAAATACAAATTGATGTGCATCTATGATGTGCCAGGCAGTGTGCTTGTCACTGGAGACACATAGGAGAAAAGGGATGATGAGGGCTTTGCTCTCAAAGAACGTGCATTCTAGTGGAGACAAATAATTAGTAAAAGTGGAGATAATAAAAAATAAAATCATGTAATATTATAGATCAAGCTTGTTCAACCCATGGCCCGAGGTGGCTTTGAATGTGGCCCAACACAAATTCATAAACCTCATGAGATTTTTTTTTATTCTTTCTTTTCTTTTTTTTAAGCTCATCAGCTATCATTAGTGTTAGTGTATTTTATGTGTGGCCCAAGATGATAATTCTTCCAGTGTGGGCCAGGGAAGCCAAAAGATTGGACGCCCCTGTTATAGTGACTGAACGGGCCACTTTAGTTAGTAGTTGGAGAAGGTCTCCCTGATGAACTGATCTGAGCTGAAACCTGAATACAAGAAAAAGCCAGTCATGGTAGGATGGGCAAAAGTCATTCCTGAGAGGGAACAGCTAGTGTAAAGGCCCTATTATAGCAGCTATGAGCTTGGCACGCTCACAGATCCTGAAGGAGGCCAGTGTGGTTGGAGACTAATGGGCAAGTAGGGGACTGGCATGAGAAGGAAGCAGAGGCCAAAATCCTTCATGGCTAAGGCCACACAAGGAGTTTGGTTTTTATACCAAGTAAAAGAGTAAGCTATTGGAAGGTTCCAGTCATGAAAAAGACACAATCTATGTTTAAAAAAATTACCTCAGCTGCTCTGAAATGAACAGATGGTAGGGGTACAAGAAACAGTAAGACTAATTAAGAGGCTGTGCAATATTGCAGGTGGGTGAGGGCAGTGGTCTGCACTAGGATGGAGACATCAGGATGTGTTTCGAAGAAAGTCCTTAGGACTTGCTGATAATCTATCTACATGTGGGAAGTATGGGGAAAATGGGATCAAGGATGATTCCCACCTGGCAGCAGGTGACATTTATTGAGCACTTTGCACAGATTCTCTCATCACTCCTTCTCTACCAATATCCTTACCATCTTCTTTATCATCATATGAGGCAAACACTATTATTATCCCTATTCTACACTGAGGAAATAAAGAAGCCAAGGTGTGGACAGTCAAATAATCTCTCTAAGGTTATACAAGTTGGTAACTGGAACCAAGATTTGAACTCAAGGAGTCTGGAGCCCCAAGTTTGTCCTATTAACTACACTGCTATACTAAACCTGGATTATACACATATGCATGGGTTGAAGGGTATGATTAGTAAAACATGTTAAGGGGAACCTAGTTACAAGAAGGGGCAGTAAAAACAGCAGAAAATATACTCTTGTTTTTTGACTTTTTTTCTTTTTGAGATAAGGTCTCACTCTGTCACCCGGGCTAGAGTGCAGTGATATGACCTCAGCTCACTGCAACCTTTGCCTCCCAGGTTCAAGCGATTCCTGTGCCTCAGCCTGCTGAGTAGCTGAGACCACAGGTGCGCACCACCCTGCCCGGCTAATTTTTATATTTTTAGTAGAGTTGGGGTTTCGCCATGTTGGCCAGTCTGGTCTCAAACTCCTGGATCAAGCGATCCCCCTGCCTCGGCCTCTTAAAGTGCTAGGATTACAGGCATGAGCCACTGTGCCTGGCCAAGACATACCCTTATAATCGAGGATGGGAGAGTGTTTGGAATATTGTAATGCAGAAAGGCTCTATGTTATTTGCTGGCAGTGGGAAGGGAAGCAGTGCCTTAACACTGGGTTGGAGCGGCCCACAGGGAAAACATGCATGTGGTCATCCCTCCTAGCTGCCTGGACCTCTGTTCTACACCTCACCTCTCCGCAATGTGTAGTTGCCTTGCCTCTAGTGCCAGTTTACTCAAGGTTTTCCACATTGCCTCTGTTTCTGGGGTCATTTCCAGAGTCTCTAAGAAAGCTGTTGCCCTGGAAAGGTAAGGAAGCAAAGCAAAAGGAATGAGGGATGAGTCAGGAAGACGCAGCAGAAGACTGATGATGGGGCAAGGGAAACGGGAAGGGCCATTTTTGTCTCATCTCCTCCCAGGATCACTGGATCCTTAACAGTTTTGGCCAGTTTTACACCCCACCCCAGGTCCTCCCCTCTCAGAATCAGACTCTCCCACCACCTCACTGGCTATTGGCCAGCCTCTCACCGGGTGTAATTGCCATCATCAATGGCTGTTCCAAACTCGATGAGGCCTTCATCCAGTGTGTAGGCAACAGCAGTCACACCTTCCATCACCATCACCTCGGTCTTTCCCCCGCCCCGCTCCAGACCTATAACATCACCCTGTAAAAGGTCATCCCCCAATTTCAGCTTAGTTTCCACTGAATTGGGGTCATCCCACCCCAATTTCAGCTTAGTTTCCACTGAATCAATTGTAGAACAGACCCACCCTCATCCAACCCAGTGCTCAAGAGTCACAGCAGACCTGATTTTCCTAACATTTTAGTCTCTCTCAAGCATAAAAAAAATACTTTATTTGTAGCGATATCCTTGGGTTAAAGTATAGTCCTAACCGTGACAGCACCAATTCCTAGAGGTACAAAGTGTGGCATCCACTTCTGCTTCCAGCAGTACCATAAGAGTAGATATTCTTAAGGGTTCTCTTGTTAAAATACAACTTGAACCTGGACATGCTTTTTAATGCATTGCTTGGGCTTACTTGAAGAAATCACTAAGGATGTTCCCTACCCATATCCTACCCTTCTCTCTCAAAAAAAGACAGAAAGAAAAAGGTCAATAAGCGAAATCCTGAGCAAGAAAAACAGGAAAGTGAGCAAATGGGAAAAGTACAGTTGTCCTGAATGCAAACGGAGTGTCAGGAGAATAAACCTCAGGCCCTCCAGCAGGATGGGGAGGCTGAATTTGAGAATCCTTAACTAAACCTGGGACCCACTCTTTAGTAAAGGCAACAAAAGTAATGGTCACAGATCATTAATATGCCTGCTGCCTGCAGAAGAAAGACCGAATCATCACTGGAGGAGAACATATCCATCTTAGGCCCTCAGGATTCCAAAAGAATACATTCAAAGTAACTTGAGCTCACAATTAAAAAAAAAAAAATACAAGGAAACAAACCACTAGGAAAGAATAAGTAATAACTATAAACAACAATTTTAGACCTTCAAGAATCTCTGATATTAAAAATAACAGTTAAAGGCTGGGCTTGGTGGCTCATACCTGTAATCCCAGCACTTTGCGAGACCAAGGTGGGAGGATCACCTGAGCTCAGGAGTTCAAGACCAGCCTGGGCAACAAAACGAGACCTCATCTCTACTGAAGAAAAAAAAAAAAAAAATAGGGAATTAGCCAGGTGTGGTTGCATGTACTGGTAGTCCCAGCTGCTCAGGAGGCTGAGGTGAGAGGATCATTTGAGCCCAGGAGTTTGAGCCTGCAGTGAGCTGTGATCATGCCACTGCACAGCCTGGATGACAGAGTGAGACCCTGTTTTTTGTTTTGTTTTGTTTTAAAAAGCCTAGTTATGGAATGTAAAATGATTATTTATGAAATACCTAAATATCTTAAAAGATGAAATGAAAAATTAAGCAATGAATAAGAAATCCATATGGCCTGACAGACTGGAGAAATCAAATAAAGAAAAATTTAATGTTTGAGGTAAAAAACTCAATGAACAATTTAAATAGCAGATTAGACAATGATGAAAAGCAAATCAATGAATCAAAACAGATCTAAAGAAATTACCCAGAGGCCAGATGCAGTGGCTCATGGCTGTAATCCCAGTACTTTGGGAGGCTGAGGCGGGAAGATTGCTTGAGCCCAGGAGTTTTGGACCAGCCTGGGAAACATACTGAGAATATATATTTACAGAAAATTGGGCTGGATAAAAAAGCTGGGCGTGGTATCATACACCTGTAGTCCCAGATACTCGGGAGGCTGAGATAGGAGGATCGCTTGAGCCCGGGAGGTCGAGGCTACAGTGAACTAAGATCATGCCACTGCATTCCAGCATGGGACAACAGAGTGAGACCCTGTCTCCAAAAAAAAGAAAAAAATAATTATCCAGAATAGAGCATGGAGCAGGAAGAAAGAAAGTATGAAAGGGAAGTTAAAAATGTAAAACAAGAAATCTAACATTTGCCTAACTAGAGTTCTGATGAAGAGCCTAGAGAATGGCTGAAGCAATGTTCAAAGAGATAATGACTAAGAAACTTCCAGGAGTGATGAAAATATGTGTATTCATAAACACAGGAGCACAATCTATACTAAGCAGTATAAATGTGAAAATTTTATATCTAGACGCATCGTAGTGAAACTTCAAAACACCTGAGAAAAACAGAATTTTTTTTTTTTCTGAGACAGGGTCTCAGTCTTTCACTCAGGCTGGAGCGCAGTGGTACAACTTTGGCTTACTGCAACCTCTGCCTTCCATGTTCAAGTGATTCTCATGCCTCAGCCTCCTGAGTACGTGGGATTACAGACGCGTGCCACCACACTTGGCAAATTTTTGTCATTTTTAGTAGAGACAGGGTTTCTTCATGTTGGCCAGGCTGGTCTCAAACTCCTAGCCTCAAGTGATCCACCCGTATCAGCCTTCCAAAGTGCTGGAATTACAGGCATAAGCCACTGTGCCCAGGCCTAAAAAAGAAGACTTTAAAAGAAACCAAAGAAAAAAAACAGATCAGCTGTACAGAAATGGCCGCTGTTAAATTTCTCACAACAGCAATGGAAGTCAATTAATGAGACAAGATTTACAAATTAAGAAAAATTAACTGTCAATCTAGAACTGGGTACTGAGTCCAAGCATCTTTTTAGAATAAAGGATAAATAAAAACATTTTCAGATAATCAAAAACTGAGAATTTACCATCTTTCACTGAAGAAACTTCTAAGTAAGACTGGCGCGGTGGCTCATGTCTGTACTCCCAGCACTTTGGGAGACTAAGTAGGGGTGGATCACTTGAGGTCAGGAGTTTGAGACCAGCCTGGCCAACATGATGAAACCCATCTCTATTAAAAGTACAAAAATTAGCCAGGGGTGGTGGCACATGCCTGTAATCCCCACTACTTGGGACGCTGAGGTGGGAGAACCACTTTAACCTAGGAGGTAGAGGTTGCAATGAGCCAAGATCGTGCCACTGCACTCCAGCCTGGGCAACAGAGCAAGACCCTGTCTCAAAAAACAGAAACAAAAAACTTCTCAGTAATATTCTCCAAGAAGAGGAAAAGTCATTCCAGAGGGAAGATTGGCATTGCAAAAAGAAAAGGTAAACAAAGGAACTGGTACCATGATGGTAAATCGAAATGAATTCTGTCTTATAAAATAACCAGGCAGGGCTCAGTGGCTCATGCTTGTAATCCCAGCACTATGGGAGGCCAAGGCAGGTGGATCACCTAAGGTCAGGTGTTCAAGACCAGCCTGGCCAACATGGCAAAACCCCGTCTCTAATAAAAATACAAAAATTGGTCAGGCATAGTGGTGGGCACCTGTAACACCAGCTACTTGGGAGGCTGAGGCAGGAAAATCCCTTGAACCTGGAAAGCAGAGGTTGCAGTGAGCCTAGATCACGCCACTGCACCCCGGCCTTGGTGACAGAGAGACTCCGTCTCAAATAAAATAAAATAATCATGCCTACCTTTGGGGACAAAGGATTAGAACCAAAATACTGGTAAACAATGATACAGGGAAAGAGATGAAAGTTAAAGTCTTGCACGTGCACATGAATGTTCACTGCAGCACTGTTTACAATAGCAAAGACCTGGAACCAACCCAAATGCCCATCGACGATAGACTGGATAGGGAAAATGTGGCACATATACACCATGGTATATTATGTAGCCATCAAAAATGATGAGTTTGTGTCCTTTGTAGGGACATGGATGAACCTGGAAACCATCATTCTCAGCAAACTGACAGAAGAGCAGAAGATGAAACACTGCATGTTCTCACTCATAGGCAGGTGTTGAACAAGGAGAACACATGGACACAGGGAGGGGAGCACTACTCACTGGGGTCAGTTGGGGGGAAATAGGGGAGGGACGGAGGGTGGTGGGGAGTAGGGGAGAGATGCCAGATGTAGGTGATGGGGAGGAAGGCAGCAAATCACACTGCCACGTGTGTACCTATGCAACAATCTTACATGTTCTTCACATGTACCCCAAAACCTAAAATGCAATAAAATAAATAAATGGAAAAAAAAAAAAAAGAAAGTTAAAGTCTTGGCTGGGTGTAGTGGCTCACGTCTGTAATGCCAGCACTTTGGGAGGCTGAGGTGGGGGGATCACAAAGTCAGGGGTTCGAGACCAGCCTGGCCAACATGGTGAAACCCTGTCTCTACTTAAAAATACAAAAATTAGCCGGGTGTGGTGGCGTGTACGTGTAATTCCAGCTATTCAGGAGGCTGAGGGAGAAGAATTGCTTGAACCCAGGAGGCGGAGGTTGCGGTGAGCCGACAGCGCGCCATTGCACTCCAGCCTGGGTGACAGAGCGAGACTCCATCTCAAAAACAAACAAACAAACAAAAAAATCTGCAATGCAAATAACCACCAAAGTCTATACAAGCATATGCAAAGAACTCCTTCAAATCAATAAGGAAGACACACTCTGATTTTAAAAATGGGTAAGAGATAGGAACTAGCAATATAAATGTTCAATGAATATTACATGTGAAATTAATATAATGAGATACAATTTTATGTATATCATGTTTAAGCCAAATTATGAACTCAGGCAATTTCAAGTATTACAGAGGATGTCAGACAATAGAAACTCTAACTGCTGGTGGGAATATAAATTGGTAGAACTTCTTTGGAGAAAAGTGTTTTGGAAATATTTAGTGAAGTTGAAGACACAGCTCCTCTATGATTTAGCAATTCCATTCTAGATATGGAGCTTGGAGAACTGAATCACTGTAAGAGTGAAAAGTCAGCAACTTAAATGCCTATCAATAAGAGAGAAGATATAAAATGATTCAAGGTAAATATAACAAAATGTCAGGATTTGACAGAACTGGGTATGGATAAACAAGTGATACTATCATTTTTTAAAAAATTGATTTTAAGTGGAAAGCTTCATAAATTTGTGTGTCATTCTTGCACAGGGCCATGCTAATCTTCTCTTTATCATTCCAATTTTAATATATGTGCTGCCAGAGCAAGCAAAATATCATTATTATTAATAGCTAACACTTATTAAGTGCTTACTATATTCCAGGCATAAGAAGTGTATGTCATATGAAGTAGGCACTATTTTTATCCCTACTTTGTAGATGAGGAAATTGGGACATAGAAAGATGAAGTAACTTCCTAGGATCACACAGGTAGAGAAGCGGGATGGTATGACTCCAGAGCCCTATTCTTTTTTTTTTCTTTTTTTAAAAATAGAGACAAGGTCTCACCATGTTGCCTAGGCTTGTCGCAAACTCCTGAGCTCAAGCAATCCGCCCGCCTCAGCCTTCCGAAGTGCTGGGATTACAGGCATGAGCCACTGTGCCTGGCCCAGAGCCCCATTTTCAACAGCTACATTGTATAGGTAATGCTATTCTTCATATTATATTTATGCTTGAAACATTTCACAATACAAATATTAACATATAAGATTTATAAATGTGAATATTTGTGAAATGCAAATAAAGTTTCTATCATTATTAGTTACTAATGATAAACCATACAAAAAATAAGACCTCTTCCAGTTCTAACAGTTTATGATTCTATGAAATCTAAACAGGAAAATTCATAAATTTAATGTGACTTCTCTACCACTCACAATTTGCTAACCCTAAGATATATGTCTAGAGAACATGAATAATTATATAGACGTTTGGGGTTTTTTTGTTGCTTTCTTTTTGTTTTAAGAGACAGGGCCTTACTCCATCATCTAGGCTGGAGTGCAGTGGCACAATCATAGCTCACTACATCCTTGAACTACTGGGCTCAAATGATCCTCCTGCCTTGTCCTTCCAAAGTGCTGGGATTACAAGTATGAGCAACTGCGCCTGGCCTGCACCTTTGTGTTTATATCTAGATATCTAGGTATAGATGTATACTTATCAACTTAAACATTTCATATATCCACTGTATGTGTGGGGTTACTATTTACCTGATGCTTCTCAGATTCCTGCATTCCCAGCTGAATACAATCCTGTGGTATAAAAGTGTGATATAAACATCTATTTTGTTATTAAAATTATGAGAGAGTCTCACTCACCTATAGCAACAGTCTTAATACCAACAAAATAAGTCAATTTCTTATGATCTTCTGTTCCTTGCTGACGCTGCTCCATAATACGAACACTGAAACATGAAGGGTGAGGTAAGGCAAAATGGGCTTAGGTAGTTGGGATGTTTATTAAAGGCTCTGAAGTACCACATGGGATGAAGTTTTATTTATTTATTTGGTTGCCCCAGCTGGAGGGCAGTGGTGTGATCACGGCTCACTACAGCCGTGATCTTGACTTCCCAGGCTCCAGGTGTTTCTCCCACCTCAGCCTCCTCAGTAGCTGGGACTACAGGTGTGTGCCAACATGCCTGAATAATTTTTTGTATTTTTAGTAGAGAGGGGGTTTCACCATGTTGCCCAGGCTGATCTTGAACTCCTGGACTCAAGTAACCTGCTTGCCTCAGCCTTCCAAAGTTCTGGGATCATAGGCATGAGCCACCATGCCTGGCTGAAGCTTTTAGATTAACTGGAGGATACAGAACTTAGGAGTCCAAAAGGAATTTTTTGGGTTTCAGGGATTCAGAAAATCTTGTGAGGTTACCTGAGGAGGTGGGGGTTCATGAATTCAGTGCATACATAACCCAAGGTGTCGTTATTTCCATAGTCCACCAGGGTTAGCTCTCTGGCATTGAAGATCATACATACCTGGGAAAAATGGAGTTGTTCTATGGTGGAAAGGCTACATGAAGAAAAACAGATGTGCGAGGTGTACTGTCAGTTCAAGGTGACTCCCACTTTTCTCCTTGTTCTCCTACCCTGCCAATTTCATTCTCCCTGTTTCTTTATCTGCTGTTTCCCTATCCCTTGCAACTTGCCATCTTTATGACACAGAAGCTAGAAGGAGGCTTATGGAGATGGTGATAGTGAAGCAAGCTCTACTCACATTCTCATTTTCAAAGGAATACTTCTCATTGCCACCAGATCCCTGCCAGGCTATCTGTAAAGGAGAAGACTTAAGAAGCAATGTGGATAATTACCCAAGACAACGCCAAAAGAATGACAGGTTGGGAAGCAGAAGGACCATATTTAGGGAGGCTTTGGCACTACACAAAAGCGGTGCTGTATCAGAATTTGCTCTGGTCCCTGAGAGGAACCAGAGAGATGTTTCTGAGAGATGGCATCAAAAC